AAAAAAAAAAAAAAAAAACTGAGCATGCTATTGGATGCATTAGTTATTTATACACACACATTACAATATCATTTTCTGGGTGATTTCTGGTACTTCCAATGACCAGCCCCAGTTTTTCACCTGAAGGCTGACTTCAGAACTTAACCTCCGCAGGCCGGGCACAGTCGCTCATGCCTGTAATCCCAACACTTTGGGAGGCTGAGGCGGGTGGAGCACGAGGTCAGGAGTTCAAGAACAGCCTGGCTAAAATGGTGAAATCCTCTCTACTAAAAATACAAAAAATTAGCTGGGCATGGTGGCGGGCGCTTGTAATCCCAGCTACTCAGGAGTCTGAGGCAGAGAATTGCTTGAACCCGGGAGGCAGAGGTTGCAATTGGCCAACATTGTGCCACTGCACTCCAGTGTGGTGACAGAGCAAGACTCCAAAAAAAAAAAAAAAAAAAAAAGAAAAGAACTTAACCTCTGCATAAGAAACTTCTTGGAAGCACAGTGACAGAATATGGGATGTTCAAGGATGGATTCAGTGAATTGATGAAGCCAAACTGAGACATGAAGGAAGATAGCATCTGGAGAGCTGTGGAGGGGTGAAGGTTGTCCATGTGGGTGTGTAGGGATTTTGTGCTTTCAGTGTCCAAAGGTTTTTCTGCTCTCCCTGCCTCTTTCCTCATGTTTTTCTCTACCACTCTCCCCCACAGAACGTGAAGCTCTTGGAACAGTTTGTCTGCGCCCATACGGGTATCATCTTCCATGCTCCATACACAGGTTAGCCCATCATCCCTGCACCATCAGGGTGCTTTTCCTTGCGGCATGCCTTATTTATGCAATTGGTCAATAGGTATTTGTTCAATGGCTCTTACTTATAGCCTAAAAGGTCTGGCTGAACCTTTTAGAAATCTTGGCTTAGTGGGGGCTAAAGCAATTAAGTGTGGACAAAAGAAAAAGACAAGTACAGCTGGGTGTGGAGGCACATGCCTATAATCCTAGCACTTTGGGAGGCCAAAGTGGGTGGATCACCTGAGGTTGGGAGTTCGAGACCAGCCTGACCAACATGGAGAAGGGACAGGGGACAATGGAATGTCAGAAGAGAAATGTTCTTCCTCCCCATCTCTACTAAAAATACAAAATTAGCCAGGTGTGGTAGCACATGCCTGTAATCCCAGCTACTCACGAGGCTGAGGCAGGAGAATCACTTGAACCCAGGAAGCGGAGGTTGCAGTGAGCCAAGGTCTTGCCATTGCACTCTAGCCTGGGTAACAAGAGTGAAACTCCATTTAAAAAAAAAAGACAAGTACTTCTGTAAGCAGACTATCTAAATTTATTTCTTAAATGATGAATGGTGATTAATTCCTTTCTATAGGGTCTTTTTACTTTTACAAAAGATTTTCACAAATTGTCACATAAGTTATTTTATATCATTGTCAATTCAATTAGATTTCCAAACTTGGAATCATAAATTTAACAATTCAGCATATCTATTCCCTAACTATAGCCATAGAGAAATCTGGCCCACTGCCATGTTCATTTGTTTTTTATTGTCTACGGTTGCTCCCAGGCTACAGTGGCAGAGTTGAGTAGCTGAGACAGAGACCACAGGACCTGCAGAGTTTAAAATATTTACTATATGACACTAGACAGAACTGCAGCCTTCACTTCCTGGGTTCAAGCAATTTTCCTGCCTCAGCTTCCTGAGTAGCTGGGATTATAGGCATGCACCACTGTGCCTGGCTAATTTTTTGTGTGTTTTTAGTAGAGACAAGTTTTCACCATTTTGGCCAGTCTGGTCTTGAACTCCTGACCTCAAGTGATCCTCCTGCCTCAGTTCCCCAAAATGATGGGATTATAGGCATAAGACACTGCACCTGGCCTTGCAGAGAATAATCTCCTTAAACCACCATTATTGGGGGTGGCAGTACAATCAGTGTTCAGTTTGTCAGAGTTTCTTAGAGTCAAGCTGTTAAAGACGGAAGGGACTATTATTGTTACTTTCTCAGATTGCTTTCCCCAACTCTAAAATCTCTTCTCCCTTTATTGAATCTTTCTCTGTGGATTGTTTAACTCAACCCTCTAATTAACCATACTTGCTCTTTAAATTGTGTTTTGCTCCCTGTCTTGGAGGCTTTACCATTAAATAGCTTCTCTATAGTGGCTAGACCCTCCTAAATATTTATCCCAGCTCTCCCAGAGATAGGGGAGATTCTTTCCATTGGGCAGATGGGGAAACTGAGTTCCATGGAGGGGTCAGGTGAAAGGGGTCATTAGGTAAAGCCAAGCCTTCCAAATATAGCCCTCTGTCACCATATGGAAGCAGTTGTGTTCTGTTATTACTGTGCCTTAAAGAACAAGTTATCCTTTTTCTCCCCACAGGAGTCTGCATGAGGCAGCACAAGAGGTTGACCCAGGCCATCCAGAAAGCCAGGGATGTTGGTGAGCATGAGATGGGGCACATGGCAGTTTTGTTAGGTATAAGGAAGAGGACTTAGGGCTGGAGGATGGATATAAATGCTCACACCTGTTCAAGATGGTAGCACTCAGCATGTTCCTCCTGAGTCTCTTCCGACATTCCATTGTCCCCTGTCCATTCTCCCAAGTCTCTTACTTTATCATTTCCCTGTCTTCTTGTTCTTTGTTTTTCCATTCCTTTCCCTTCTATTTTACAACTGCTGGTCTCAATGCCACAGCAAGATTATAGAAAGATCTTTATATAAATGTCTGGCCCTGGACTACATGGTACTGTTGCATGAGTTAATAAAAGGTGTACCCCTCTGCTGGAGCAGATGCAACTTCATAGTCCTGGTGCAGGATTGCACAGCTTTGTAAGCAAGAGCCCAGGCAGTATGTCAGCCCACACTTGCCCTCTGGTCCAGTTACCTGTTAGCATTATACAACATGCATAAATATACCCAGTGGTTCTGACTGTTCCCTCCCTTTATAATCCTTTTTCTTACTTCTTAATCTAAACCACCCTCCTCATTCCCCTCTTAACTTTCTTTTCTTTTCTAATCCCTTAGGTCTGCTCAGTTACCACATCCCCCAGGTTGAACCCCGGGACCTTGACTTCAGTACCTCTCATGGGGCTGTGAGTGCTACTCCGCCAGCCCCCACCCTGATCTCAGGCGAGCCCTGGTACCCGTGGTACAACTGGAAACAGCCACCAGAGAGAGAACTGTCTCGCCTTCGCCGGCTCTACCAGGGTCATCTCCGAGAAGAGAGTGGCCCCCCACCTGAGTCAATGCCCAAGGTGCCCCCTACAGCACCAGCAGAAGCCTCCTCCACTGGGCAGACAGGCCCCCAGAATGCTCTGTAGGAGCCATAGACTGGGAAGAGAGGCCTGGCATGGTGGCTCATGCCTGTAATTCCAGCACTTTGGGAAGCCAAGGTGGGCAGATCACTTGAGTCCAGGAGTTTGAAACCAGCCTGTGCACCATGGTGAAACCCTATCTCTACCAAAAAATACAAAAATTAGCTGGGTATGGTGGCGCACACCTGTAGTCCCAGCTATTGGGGAGGCTAAGGTGGGAGGATTGCTTCAGCCCAGGAGGCGGAGGTTTTAATTGCCCCCCTGTGCTCCAGCCTGGGTGACAGAGCCAGACCCTGTCTCAAA